TTATGTTGCCCAGGCTGGTCTTGAACTCCTGAGCTCAAGCAATCTGCCCACCTTGGCCTCCCAAAGTGCTGAGATTACAGGTATGAGCCACTTGACCCAGCTAATTTTTTTTTTTTAATTTAATTTTAGTAGAGACAAAGCCTCGCTACATTACCCAGACTAGTCTTGAACTCCTGGCCTCAGGTGATCCTCCTACCTCAGCCTCCCAAAGTGCTAGGTTTATAAGCATAAGCCACTGCTCCCAGCCCTTGATGATTCTTGACATTACTGTTCTCCTGAGGAAAGAATAGGAAGCTAATCCTCCAGCCACAGAGTTACTGTGCTTTAAACAATATTTTTTCAGATTAGATACTATTGGGATGTTTATAGGAGATGACTGTTTAGAAGTTAATTGTTTAGCACCTTGAGGTTTCTGGAGACATATGCCTTGGAAATAAAGTGTAGCTGGGATTTAAATTCTGGGATCTTCACTGGTAACAGTTCCAAATGATGCTTTGCATGTCTTGGGTGCTTTATGGTTTTCAGTGGCATTTCAAGTCACTCAACTACCTTTTGAGATGAGAGGTAGTTTCTACTTATTTTTCAAAACTGGAAACTAAGGTCCAGAGAACTGATGTGACTTGTGGAGGAGTCAGTAAGCTGCAGCACTTGGCTGAGCTCCACTTATTCTGTGTTCTTGCTCTTTCCCCCACCCCAGGATTTCCTTGATCTGGGGGTTGGTCTTAGGGCTGAAAAGAGCAAAAGCCTGCTTCTCTCAGACCTTGGAAGCTGCCATAGTGGTCTCTCTGTGGCAAAGCCCAGGTTTTGGAGTCCAGTTTCCATCTTGAATAAGTTATTCGTCTCTCTGAGCCTTGGTTTCCTCCTCTATAAATAGAGATACTAACACTGACTTTGCGGGGTTAGGTGAGATAATGCAGGCCAAGTGCCTGGCATACAGTAGGTGCTCAGCAAGTACAGCTTCGTCCCTCTGCTTGCTTGACTTTGTGTGCCTGTCCTGAAGAGTTGGTGTTACTTGTCTTGGTGACCTGCTTATTGCAGCACCGTAGACATTTTGCTGTGATTCCTTCATTCTGCTTCAGCTCACACCATGGATTGAGAGGTTCCCAGTAACCAAATCCCATTAACTAAATCCAGCTGATTTCAGACCCAACAGTTTCTGTATCTGTAACCTCTCTTTCTTCCTACATCTGTCAGTGTCATATGCATTTAGTCCTGAAAATGCAGGAAGCAGCAACACTCCTTTTATAGATAGGGACAGAGAAACTCTCTTCCTGCCCAGGCTCACTTCACGTATCCTTGACAAAGTTCAGAGGAGAACCAAGTCACTCTTCACCTGGGCTTCTCCAGACTGATTTTGTCTAGTCCTAACTTCTTTTGTTCATTTCAGATGGGAGGAGGTTGCGTTCAAACTCTAGCTCACTGTTTTCATCTTCAGCCCACATCCCTCCAGCAAAATAATCAGCATTCATGTAGCCCAAGTCAGGGAGAGGGAAGTCTTTGTTCAAATCATCTCACTGTACTTGGGATTTCAGATAACACAGAAACCTGGCAAACAGGCTTTTAAGTTAATAGGTTTTATTTGACGACATTAGTAGTCTGCGTGTGCATGATTTTGGGTCTCCTCTCCCAGAGGTCTGTGTGACTCAGTGTGCCCGAGGGCATGCTGCTGGGAACTGAGTGCCTTTCAAGGTTGCTCAGCTCAGGGGCACAAGCTCTTCTCTGGGAAGTGGAGACGATTCTTAGATAAGACTCCTCAGCGGAGTACACTCATTTTGAGGAGTTGAGGACAAATCAGTATGTGCCCCACCAGGCTCTTAATGGGAAACATGCCTGTAGGGTGTAACTGGCTGAAGCAAATGTACCAGAATGCAATCGAGGGACGTTCCTTTTGGTGTTTCTTCAGGAAGCTATACACATGCATTGTTGATGTCCCATTGCTCATTGCCCATTGTGGTAAACCACCACTAGAAGTTTCCATCAGAGCCAGTTTTTTAGCCAAGTGAGAAAATTGTTTTTGAGACTTTTTTCATATCCGCACTTTTGGATACCAAATGGTATCCCCAAGCATGACCACCATTTTTTTTTTAACTAGTTGTAATTCCAGATAACTTGTAGTTATTTCTAAAAGTCGTAGTCATCCTTAGAAAACCTGAGAGATCATGACCCACGTTGAGAGCTTCAAAGGAGCATCCTCTGAAGGCCGATCTTGTTACTTGGACAAGTGAGTAGCTATGTGTGCCTTGTTCTTTCAAAGAGTGAGGTCAGGACCTGCCAAGAATGAATTGAGTCTATTCCTTGAATTAGGAGCCGTCACTGCTCATCTGGGGCCTTGGTGAAGACATCCTCCTTGTTTGTAGACAATACAGTTCCTTCCCTGGGGCAGATATAGTTTGGACTTTAGTCACGTCTCCTAATAAGCCTTCTATGGGTGTGGCTGAGTGGTGTAGAAATAAGGAGTCGAGTTGTCTTCATGTGTGTTTTCCTATTCTTTCCCCACTCCTTGCCCATCACTGCCCCTCACTGATGTCCAGTCTTGGGACCATAACCAGTCATTCTCTAGCCAAAACCTGTTTATACCTGGCTCCCTAGGTGGGAGTTGTACCCTCTTTCCTCATTTACCCAAGGCTGCAGGGAAGTCATCTTTCTTTCCATGTTACTAGCTGGGAGTAATCCCCCAGCCAGCTGGCATCCCAGAAACTAGGGTGGGGAGATGTGGGGCTAGAATGCGCGGGTTTGGGGGTGATTAAAGTTAGATGTCAAGATTGTAAGGTGCTTTATACTGCACTGGTGAGATGATGATTTAAAACCATATTTTTAGGCTGGGCATGGTAGCTCACGCCTGTGAGAAATCCCAGCACTTTGAGAGGCCAAGGCAGGTGTATCACTTGAGGTCAGGAGTTCGAGACCAGCCTGACCAACATGGTGAAACTCCCTCTCTACTAAAAATACAAAATTATCTGAGTAGCTATGTGTGCCTTATCCTTTCAAAGAGCGAGGTCAGGGCCTGCCAAGTATGAATTGACCAACATGGTGAAACTCTTTCTCTACTAAAAATACAAAATTATCTGGGTGTGGTGGTGTGTGCTCATAATCCCAACTACTTGGGAGGCTGAGGCAGGAGAATCACTTGAACCCAGAAGGTAGAGGTTGCAGGAGCCAAGATTGCGCCATTGCACTCCAGCCTAGGCAACAGAGTGAAACTCCATCTCAAAAAAAAAAAAAAGGAAGAAAAAAACCTAAACAAACCTTTTTTATTGTTGGACCTTGTGTCCTGAATTTCAGCTTAGAGATAACAGCTACCATAACTGAAGCAACCCGGGTTCTTTTTCCTTGTCTCAACCTCCGGAAGTCAGGCGAGACCATCCTGGTTCCAGGATATTTTGGACATAGTTCTATCTGGAGAAAGAGGGTGGACAAAGCAGCCTCTGGGAGCCCCTTTCTGCCCCTGATCGGCGAGTATCTTGCTGCATACAGCCTCTGCCAGCAGCAAGTATGGTGACATTTCTCCCTCCGAGTGGGGAGCAGCAACAAAAGTCTGGCTGGGTTGGAGGCCGGGGGCGGGGAATCTGGAGTGAGTGTCTGAGCTGATAAGGAGCCAGTGCTCTTTCTGCCTGGTAGGACTTGCATCTCCGGCTGCCAAGCATCCCACAGGGCCCAGTCCTTTGGGACGCTGGTGGCTGCTACGGTGGTCCTGCTGCTGGCATTGCTTGGAAAGTGCAGTAGTTACGGATACTTCTGCAGAGAACTTCCCTTGTGGTGTTGAATATTGGGATCTGTCTCAGGGCACAGGAAGGATTGCTTATCTTTTGAGCAGCAGGGTCTTAGAAGAAAACAGCATATTTTCCCGGCGGAAACTAGGATTTTCCCTTATTGCATCGCTCTAAAAGTGGCCCTGTGAAGGATTTTCAGAGTGCTGCTGTGTCAGCTGCATCCTGCCTGGATCCTCCAGCTCCATCTCCTTAGGGTTCTTGCCCAGGCCTCCAAAGATTTTCTTCACTCTTCAGGCAAGGAGCCTCTGTGGTCTGCCTGGTCTCCAGTGACCTGGATCCTATTGCCTCTTGGAGCAGTGGACAGAACTTGGAAACTTCCACTTTGAGGAAGGACTTAGCAGGGTCTTGGCAACAGGTATCCAGCTGTTCAGAGATAGGTACTGGATTTGTGTGAAGGCGTTTGTCCCTACAGCCTTAAAAGACTGGCAAATGCTGGGGCTCTGTGGAGGCAGGTGAGAAGGACTTTTCAGTGGCTCTTGAGTGTTGCACTGAGATGCTCCCAGAGAGCTGGCCCTCCCAGGGAGCTTCTTGGTGGGAGCTCCATGTTTCTGGGATGCTGATGGGGAAGCCCCATAGATTCTTACTGCGTCCCAAGGCTTACTTCATTTTTTCCTGCTCTCCTGGCTTGGCACAAAGGGTTAATATCTCTGATAGCTCTATTTTGGGGCAAATGGAGTGTTCCCAGAATAGGACTCTTTGTTGAGTAGTCTATTTTGGGAGACAAGCCCCACTGGCATTTATGCAAGGGATTCTCTGTGTGTAGCTGGGGGTGTGGTTGTGTGCGCAAGTGATTTCTTGTTACTAATTATAAACAGCTTCTTTTGGGAGCCAGGGAAATGGAGGTGTGTGTGAGGGCATGGATTGCTCTTGCATGCTGAGAAGAGTGGCGCATCTGTGCGTGCCCATCAGGTGGGGCAGTTGTCACAGACACCTGATTAAGAGTGAGTGTGCGGACTTCCAGACATCAGCAGGGATGACAGTCTGTGCTCCTTTTTGGGGGTGTCAGGCTGTGGAGATGTGCCCATCTGTCATCCTCTTAATTCCCTGAAGCACACGGGCAGACTGGCCATCACAGCCCTCTGGCTGCAGTCTGAAGTCAGGCAGCCTCCAAACCATCAGGGCTGGGTTGTTCTAAGGCCCAGCAAGCAGTTCCTACCTGGAGCTATTCTTACTGCGCTTCCTACTCTGCAGCTCAGCTCTTACTCACTGGAATCTCCTATTTCCCCACAGGCCGAATCCACATATGTCGAAGCAGGACAGAAACCAAAGACCGTCCAGCATGGTCAGTGAAACATCCACGGCTGGGACCGCCTCCACCCTAGAGGCCAAGCCTGGACCCAAGGTGAGCTCCTGGCCACTGGTTCCTTCCTTCCCCTCTTTTATATTTTGCCAAGCCCCTTTGTAACCAGAAGTCCATTTAATGTTCACTATAATTTTGTGACAGAGACCCATAAGAAGTGTTCTCCCCAAATGACAGATCAGGAAATTGCGGCCAAGAGGGGTATGCCCCTTGTGCAACAAAGCAGGTGATTCCTGCCAGACCCAGCACCCATGTCTAGTTCCTGGAGCATGTTCTTCACTTTCCTTGCATGGTTGGGCGGGCCACGTTTCTGTTTACATGTAGCTGTGTGTTAAAGAGAGCTTGGAGAGATTTGGAGACAGGAGGCTCTGAGGAAGGGTGCCCAGAAGTTTTTGTGCTGCAGGTGTAGCAAACACTAGGATCAGGGAAAAGAACCAGCATTGCAGAGAGGAGGAGAGTGCTGAAGGGTGAACCCAGATAGGAGGAGTAAATATCTGGACATTGGCAAAAAGCTGTGACCGAAAATTAGCTTTGCTCCAGAAAGCCATGGAACATAAGAGAGCCCACAGCTGCTGTTGAAAGTTGACTGAAAATTTTCTTTTAATTTTTTTTCTGTGACCCAGCTGGGAGGTTTGCCAGGTCTTAGGCTTGCCTTTTAATTAGAATGCTGTGACCATGTGCACGCCTGTTCCCTGTCTCCTGGCTATTCTTTTGATCAAAGGGTGCTGCCGTTTAGAGTGAGGCAGAGAGAGCCGACAGTCCTCCTAACATACAAGTGCTTTTTTATGCCACCTTCAATTCCCTGCTGCTAGAGTTCAATCTGCTTTTTTGTAGATCATAAAGTCCAGCAATAAAGTCCACAGCTTTGGGAAGAGAGACCAGGCCATTCGGAGGAACCCCAACGTTCCTGTGGTGGTGAGGGGCTGGCTGCACAAGCAGGTGAGGACCCTGAGGAGTGAGAAGGTGGAGGAAATGGCTGTGGCTGAGTTCTCTCCCTTCCTAGACCCCACGAAGCTAGGAACAGGCACATAAGCTTTCTGTTCCTGAGTTTGTCTGAGGCAGCTGGATTCTACCTGCTGTACTGCGTTATTTGCTGCTTGTTCTTGTGAGTAGACTATCTGCTCAATGGTTACAGCTTCTCTCCCAAAACCCATTTGACCACTTTGGCCCCTGGTGCTGTTGGCTGCCCTGGGGCCCAGGCCACAGTGTGGGTGCGTCCACATGAATCCAGCCTTCCTGCCAGTCCTCCACCAGCACTTGCCTTCCTGATGTCAAAGAGTCTTTGTCATTATTTGGCTGAAAAAATTCATCTTTTCTTCTCCCCTTTGTCTAGCATACATATCCACCTAGCATCTCAAATTCCAAATAAGCCGAACTCAGCTCATTATCTCCTCACCACCCTGGCCCGCCATTTCCCTGAGGCTGCTTTTTCTGGATCTTAGTAATGGTACACCATTCTCCCAGGCACTCAGGTTAGACACATCGGCACTATCACCAGATCCTCCTTCCCTGACTTGCGTTCAGTCAGGAAGCTCTGTCGGTTCTGTAGGCTGAGGCCATCCTTCATTGCAATCCCCACTGTCAATTGATCTGCCTGGGGTCCTCTGTTCATGGCTAGGTTGTGAGTTCCCAGAGCTAGAGACCCTGTCTCTCTTGCCTTCCTTTTCTCCTTGCCAGTCATTCATTCATTCATCTATTCTGCAAAGTGCCTGCCATGTCCTAAGTTGCTAAGAGCAAGTACCAAGGGAAAGTAACGTGGTTCCTGCCCTCAAGGAACTCATCAGCTACCAGGAGAAGAAGATAGCACATCTCTCACATGTCACATTGTCACCCAGCCCCGTCTCTTACCTAGCATAGCATCCAAAAATACCAGAGCAGCAATGTAAGTTTTGGTGAAGCTTTGTGGGAAGAACAGGAGGGCATTACATTGCATAGCACACAGGAGAAATCCCAAAAGTGCTCTTAAAATCTTCCTTCACATCTCTGGCCCCATGGCAGCTGTAACAGCTCCTGGCCTCTTCTGTTGGACACTCTAGTACCATCCTCTCTTGCTCCCACTTGCCCCTCACAGCCCTGTCCTCCCTCTCTTGCCCATCTCTTTTTCTCACTTGAGTCATTTAACCCTCTGACTTCTTCCATTTGCATCCCTGTCCCCATTAAGCAAAGGATGCTTCTTTGACATATGGAGAGAGAGGGAAGGATTTGTAAGTAATTGCCAGCACTTAGCAGCCCAGGCCCATTGGCTGTCTGTAACCATAACAGGGATCTGTGTGCTGTGGACACACAACAGAGAGTGTAGCTATAGTGGGGCGGGAGACAGCGGGGGGAAGGGGTGGGGTCCAGAAAGGCTTCCTGGAGGAAGTGATATTTGAACCAGGCATAGGAGCGTAGTTAAGACCTCCAAACAAAACAAATATCATGTGTGAAGACATTAGATATCATCTGGTTGATTTGCAGAAGATAAAATTGTTAAGTAGTTGAAATCATCAAGTTAAATTTGCTTTTAGCATTTTAGTAAGTGAAGGAGGAAAAATCCTCATGTTGTATGTCAGTTTAGAAATTGTCAGATTTTTTTTCAAGCTTGTCAAAAACTTCTGCAGAAGGAAGACAATTTAACAGCCATCTCTTATTTTTTAAATTAAAAAAAAAAAAATTGGCTCACGCTTGCACCTCAGAAGTAAGTAGTGGGGTTCCGCACGCACACCTTCACGAGGTGAAAGCAAAATGGAGGACTCGGCCTCCACGCCGCTGTCATCTTCAGCCGTGACTGCAACCTCCACCTCAACTCCAGCTGCCCCGACAGCACGGAAACAGCTGGACAAAGAGCAGGTTAGAAAGGCATTGGACACTCTCTTGACGCATTGCAAGTCCAGGAAGAACGATTATGGGTTGCTTTTGAATGAGAATGAAAATTTATTTTTAATGGTGGTATTATGGAAAATTCCAAGTAAAGAACTGAGGGTCAGATTGCCCTTACCTCATGGTACTCGATCGGATTTAGAAGATATCTGTTTATTTACGAAGGACGAACCCAATTCAACTCCTGAAAAGACAGAACAGTTCTATAGAAAGCTTTTAAACAAGCATGGAATTAAAACCATTTCTCAGATTATCCCCTTCCAAAGTCTAAAGAAGGAATATAAATCCTTTGAAGCCATACTCCGCCTTCAGAGCACGTTTGACTTCTTCCTTACTGATGCCAGAATTAGGGGGCTCTTACCCTCACTCATTGGGAGACAATTCTATCAAAGAAACAAAGTTCCGGTATCTGTAAACCTTCTGTCCAAGAATTTATCAAGAGAGATCAATGACTGTATAGGTGGAACAGTCTTAAACATTTCTAAAAGTGGTTCTTGCAGTGCTATACGCATCGGTCACATTGGAATGCAGATTGAGCACATCATTGAAAACATTGTTGCTGTCACCAAAGGACTTTCAGAAAAATTGCCGGAGAAGTGGGAGAGCTTGAAACTCCTGTTTGTGAAAACTGAGAAATCGACTGCTTTTCCCATCTTTTCCTCATTTGTCAGCAATTGGGATAAAGCCACCAAAAAATCTATGCTTAATAAGAAGAAAAAAGAGGCAAGGAAAAAATGAAGAGAAAGAAATCATGAAAAACAAAAGGAGAGCAACAAAATCAACAAGCCTGCATCAGCCCTTAGTAAAGACACCGTGGCACCTGAAAGTGGGGACGCTACAGTGGAGAAATCTGAATCGAAGAAGGAGCAGACCCCAGAGCATGGGAAGAAAAGGTCTGGCAAAAGAAAAGCCCAAGTTCAAGTGGCACATGACCCCGAAGACGAAATTCCACAGCTGGTACCAATAGGAAAGACTCCAGCTAAGGAGAATATGGAGATTCAAAAACATGCCACAGGAAAGAAGTCTCCAACAAAGAGTCCTATTCCCAGCACACCTCGTGGGAAGAAAAGAAAGGCCTTGCCAGCATCTGAGATCCCAAAAGCTGCAGAGTCTGAGACCCCAGGGAAAGGCCCATGGAAGAAGCCAAAAATCAAAGAAGAGGCAGTGAAGGAAAATAATCCTTCGCTGGGAAAAAAAAGATGTGAGACAGACTCCTAAAAAGCCAGAGGCCAAGTTCCTCACCACTCCTAGTAAATCTGCAAGAAAAGCTTCCCACACCCTCCAAAAAACTGCCCAAAAAAACCATAGTGCCCCAGTCAACCTAAAATCAGTGATTCAACCAGAAGGGAACCTCAGAGCTGCCCTCAGAGCTTATTAGAAATACTCAGGTCCTGACTCCATTGGCAGCCTTCTCCAAGCGTCGGGCCTAGACTTAAAGATTTTTTAAAAACTTCCATAGGTAATTCTGACATATGCTCCTGGGTATAGTAATCTATTTTTAAATTGTCCTTCTTTGTGTTTGTTAACATAATAGAAGAAATATAGAGTGCTTTTCTAAGCACTTTGGGAAGCCAAGGTGGGAGTATTATTTGAGCCCAGGAGTTTGGGACCAGCCTGGGCAACATATGAAATCCCATTTCTACAAAAGAAAAAAAAAAATGGTGGCATGTACCTGTGCTCCCAGCTACTCAGGAGGCTGAGGTGGAAAGATCAAGTGAGCACAGGAAGTCAAGGCTGCAGTGAGCCATGATCATACCACTGTCCTCCAGCCTGGGTGACAGTGTGAGACTGTCTCAGAAAAAAAAAAAGCATAGCATTGCTTTGCTTCTGAGTATACATACTGTTGGCTTTCTGTATCACGTGAGTCTGACTCGAGGTCTCTGATGTGACCCTTTTCCTCATCTACTCAACCATCACATGGACTCCATCACACTCCTTTGTCTTCATTCCCAAAGTGGCCAAGTGAGAGCCTCGATGCACGAGAATCAGCTGCTGAATTTAGGAGAAACACAAGTTTCTTGGCCCTCATGCTGAGCCTGTTGGTCTAACCTTATAAGTCACTGGATGAGCATGCATATGGGAAGGGAAATTAACATGGAGTCATTTATACAGCTACTGAATTGAAACCTACCTACAGGAGGCAAGAACATGATTTATCTTCCATAAGCCTTCTCCTCTTCCACGTTACTCCTCAGTCCATACAGATTTGCTTATGTATGACAACTCTAAGGAAACTTGGGAGAGTAGACTTTTTTTTTTTTTTCTTTTTTTGGCAGAATTTCACTCTTGTTGCCCAGGCTGGAGTTCAATGGCACAATCTCGGCTCATGACAAGCTCTGCCTCCTGGGTTCAAATGATTCTCCTGCTTCAGCCTCCCGAGTAGCTGGGATTACAGGCATGAGCCTCCATTCCCAGCTAATTTTGTGTTTTTAGTAGAGATGGGGTTTTTCCATGTTGGTCAGGCTGGTCTCGAACTTGACCTCAGGAGATGTGCCCTCCTCAGCCTCCCAAAGTGCTGGGATTACAGGCATGAGCCACCCCGTCCAGTCAAGAGTAGACTATTATTATTTGCACAATTGTCAAGTATATTCTGAGGCAGTAAACAATTTTTTAGGCACTCAGCCTTTCACTGGTTGTGAATGGGTATGCATCCATACTAAGTCATAGATTCACTGCAGTGCAGAAATGTGCTTGCATGCAAAAGGCTGAAGTGGGGCATGCTTTCAAAGATCATGTGGGTGTCGTGTGTCTTGGCTCACATCTGTGATCTGAGCACTTTGGGAGGCTGGGTGGATTGCTTGACCCCCAGAGTTTGAGACCATTCTGGGCAACATGGAAAACCTCATCTCTACCAAGAATTAGCTGGGTGTGGTGGCATGTGCCTGTGGTCCCAGCTACTTGGGAGGATGAGATGGGAGGATTTCTTGAACCCTGGGTGGTAAAGGCTGTAGTGAGTCATGATCATGACCCTGCACTCCAATCTGGGCAAGAAAGAGACAGAGTCCCAGCCCCATTTCCAAAAAAAAAGATGTTGGGCATGGTGGCTTGCATCTGTAATCCCAGCCAAGACAGGCAGATCACTTGAGGCCAGGAGTTCCAAGACCAGCCTGGTTAACATGGTGAAGCCCATCTCTACTAAAAATACAAAACTAGCTGGGCAGGGGGACAGGCACCTGTAATCCCAGCTACTTGGGAGGCTGAAGCAAAAGAATCACTTGAACCCAGGAGGTGGAGGTTGCAGTGAGCTAGAGATCGCACTACTGCATTCCAGCCTGGGCAGCAGAGCAAAACTGTAAAAAGAAAGAAAACAGATGTGTAGGTCTCCCTCAAGTTAGAGGAGTCTGGGCAGTGGGGGAGATGGTCCTACTCTGTTGCCCAGGCTGGAGGGCAGTAGTGCCATCAGCTTCAGTCTCAATTTCGTAGGCTCAAGGCAATCCTCCCATCTCAGCCTCCCAAGTAGCTATAACTTCCGGGGCATGCCATCACACCTGGCCAATTTTTATATCTTTTGTAGAGAGAGGTTTTCCCTATATTCCCCAGACTGGTCTCAAACTCCTAGGCTCAAGTGATCCTCCCACCTCAGCCTCCCCTAAATGCTCAGATTACAGCCATGAGGCACCATGCCAACCTGATTTTGCCTTTTTTTTTTTTTTTTT